CCCTAAGAGCATGGCTTCACGTTTCCTGGCAGTATGAATAATTCTGCCTGGTTCCAGCTTTTGTCACGGCAGTGACTTTGCTCATTCTTAAAAGTAGAATGTTAGTTTATATTTACTTTCAAAACAAAGTTTTAAATGCCATTTGGAATCTACAAACTATAATCCTTTAAGCCATATCAAGTATAACCTCCTTTTATTCCATGTCCACTTTTAAATCATGTTTGAAGACAATATGCCACTTACTCAAGTGTCAGGCAGCACGCACTCAGTGACAGGTAGTAAACAGTGTAGAATAAGATGACACACACCAGAAGGTTCTGCAGTGCAACCTGTAGGGAATCAAAGAGAACTAATGGCCCGAGCTTTTGCAAACAGTAACTTGCTTACTAAAGAAAAGAAAAATAACTAATGTGCAGCATTGGTAAGCTATGTATTACTTGGAGACTTGGGGCTGAAAGGCACTCAAAATACATGTTGATAGTATTTCAGACACAACGAGCTACCATGTCAGACCATAACACCAAGGATCAATGCAGTCCACAGATCCATATCACTTACCCTGCATTCACCCGAACAAACTTACTATATGCCGACTGTGTTAGTCACTTTTCTTGTTGCTGTGACAATACTTGACAAAACAAGCAGACTGAGGAAGGAAAGGTTGATTTGGGTTCACAGTTTGATGGTACAATAATAAATTAGGCCACAGGAGCTTAAAGCAAGCTGGTCATACTGTGTCTGTACTTACAGGAGAGAGAGATGAACATTAGTACGCTAGTGATTTTTTTCTTTGTGTACAGTCCAACACCACAGCCTGTAGATATGCATGTCAGTTGTGTCATGCAACCTCAATCAACACATTCTCCACACCCCCTCAAAGACATATGTACAGATATGTTTCCAAGGGTAATTCTAGATCCTCTTCCCCCGGCAATCAATGTAAACTCTCACACCAATATTTATATCCCAACTGGACAAAATCATGTTAAACCCTAGATATAATACTAAAAATAACGACAAGAGGTCATTTTGAAATAACACTCCCCTTGCACACATATAATAACGCCATTAATGACTAAGCCCAGTTGCAAGAATTTTCAGAGAAATTGATTAAAACACAATAGATGATCTTGAAATGGACCAGTCCACGTGTAAGCCTCACCAAAAAGCAATACAGATTAATGGAGACCAATGGATTATTCAATAAAAGATGTGAAATTGTCTGGCTTCTAGCTAGGAAAAAAAATCCCATTAGATTCCAGTCTTGTACCAAACACCATAATAAATTTCAAAATGGATTAAAGGCTTAAATGCCAAGGAAGAGATTGGGAGAATATATTTGAAACATATATATCACAGGAAAGGGCTTGATATCTGCACTATAAATTCCTATAAATAGAAAAGGCAAACAAATGAATAGAAAAATGAGCAAAGCATATAAATGGGTGTTTCATGTGAAGAAACATTTAAAACTCCAAGAAACAATAAAAACCTCCTGAACTCATCTTTTTTTTTACATGTCAATCCCCTCCCTCCCTCTCTCCCTTTTTCCCTCCCTCTTACTTTCTTTTCCCCCCTCACATGCACCCTGACCACTCTCTCCTCTCATCCCCTCACCAAATTCCACATGTAAGGCAATGCCATCCAGGTGGGGACATGTAAATCTGTCAAGTCATTTGAAATAGGGACTAGGACTTCTCTCCTGTCTCTAGGTTAAGGCAGTTATCCCTCCATGGGGGATGTGTCTGCAAGGTCTTTTTGTGCACCGGGAATATATCCTGGTTCCACTGCCTGAGGTCCCTTAGACTGCTCAGTCCTTCTGCCTGAGACCCATATTCAGGGGGGCCTGAGTCAGTCCCATGCTGGATTCCCAGCTATCAGTCTGGGGGCCTGTAAGCTCCTCCTTGTTCAGGTCAGCTGTCTCTATGTGTTTGTGCAACCTGGTCTTGTCCTCTCCCTCTGCATCTGGATTCTAGTTAGACTCAGTGTTTAGTTGTGGGTGTTTGCTTCTGTTTCCAACAGGTACTAGATGAGGGCTCCATGATGGGGGATAAGTTACTTGTTGATCTCACTCTCCGGGAAGGGCATTTATGGTAGCCTTTCCATGGTTGCTCAAATTGTTAGTTGGCGGCAGTCTTGTAGGTCTCTAGACCTTTCTTTAGGTTCAGTTTTCTCTTCAAACCAATAATGGCTCCCTCTTTTTATGTTCATTCTCTCTCTCTCTCTCTCTCTCTCTCTCTCTCTCTCTCTCTCTCTCTCTCTCTGTTGTCTTCTATTCCTACCCTGACTCAATCTTCCTAGTCATACCTCCTTTCCTCTCCTCCCCTTCTCTTTCTCCTACTTCTCTCTCCATTCACTGCCCCCCCCCACTTCCCATGTGCTCTGGGGGACTTGTCCCTTCCCCCTTCTGTGAGGGACTTTATATGAATCTCTTAGAATACACCTTGTATCCTAGTTCCTCTGGTGGTGTGAATTATAGGCTGGACCTGAACATAACTCCAGGAACACAGACATTGAGATCAACAATTAATAAATAGGACCTCCTCAAACTTAGAAGCTTCTGTAAGGCAAAGGACACAGAGGACAAGACCAAACAGCAGCCCACAGACTGGGAAAAGATTTTCACCAATCTTGCATCTGACAGAGGGCTGATCTCCAAAATATACAAAGAACTTAAGAAACTAGTCAATAAAACACCAAATAACCCTATTAAAAAATGGGGTACAGAACTGAAGAAAGAACTCTCAATAGGAACCAAAAAGGCTGAAAGACACTTAGTTAAGTGCTCAACATCCTTAGCTATCAGGGAAATTCAAATCAAACTTTTAGATACCATGAGAATGGCTAAAATTAAAAACAGCAATGACAACTCATTCTGGAGAGGATGTGGAGAAAGGGGACCACTCCTCCACTGCTGGTGGGAGTGCAAACTCTTACAGCCATTTTGGAGATCAGTATGGCAGTTCCTCAGGAAAATGGGAATTAGTTTACCACAGGACCCGGCAATCCCCCTCTTAGGCATATACCCAAATGATCCACATCCATGCAACAAAGACATGAGCTCAACTATGTTTATAGCAGCATTATTTGTAATAGCAAGAACCTGGAAACAACCTAGATGCCCCTCAACTGAAGAATGGATAAAGAAGATATGGCACATCTACACAATGGAATACTACTTTGCAGAAAAAAAAATGGAATCTTGAAATTCGCAGGCAAGTGGATGGCACGTGAAGAAACCATCCTAAATGAGATAACCCAGTCACAGAAAGAGGAAGATGGTATGTACTCGCTCATATATGGATTTTACACCTAGAGCAAAGGATCATCATCTATCTTTAAAAATACATTCTTAAAAGTGTAAACATTTCACATGGGAAATTTAATATTTATTTGCCCTGCTTTTGAATTTGTTTAAAATCATTTTCTGCTCAGCCAACACACAATACTTTAGGAATCAACTTTCCCTGGATGGTAAATTCACTAGATTCATGCAATCCAATGGGCTGGATGAAGAAAGCACTCCCCACTAGAAACAGGGGAAGTGCTCAGTGTTTCGTACCACATGTGATTTTGACATTACAAGATGGACTTAACTCTTACCAAGAGTTTATCTCCTTCAACTATCTAAAAAAAAAAAAAAAAAAAAAAAAAAGAATGAATTGAAGAGCAACCTTATCTACGAGTACATACGACATCCAGGCATCCAGACTCTGAAGTTCTGGAACCTTTGGGACCTGCCCCATTCAGACTCACCCCATTCTTCTCAATCCCTCCTAATCTCTACCTATAGATCCCCCGATGCCTGCCCACCAGATTCCTTCCTTCTGCCTTCCATTCTCATTTTCATCCTTGCCCTTTGTGTCTCTCAGACCTTACACCCTAACCTCTTTTTCTTGACTCTCGGTCTCTTACTTAGTTTCCTTCATCGTTTTCTCTCCAAAAGACATCCACAGGCATGATGACCACATTTCATGTGTGTGTGTGTGTGTGTGTGTGTGCTATACATACATGTTTGTGTGTGTGCATGAGTATGCATGTGCACATGGAGGCTGGAAATCACTATGAGGTGTCTTTTCCAAGACTCTCCACTTTATTTTCTGAGTAAATGCCTGCCACTGAATCCACTGATTAGCTATCTTAGCTCTGGTGATCAACTGGTCTCTGTTCTTCTGCTACACTTATAGATGCACTTCCCCAAGCTTGGCTTTTTACACAGGGTTGGATCTGAACTCAGATCCTCACACAAGGGCAACGCACACTTTACCAGCTAAGTTAGGCCTCCAGCTCCCTCACACCTTTGCACACTTATTTGTACAAAATACTTATTTCATGCTGGCATTTGATCACATTGATGAAATTCTTGATTAGCCCTGCTCTCCACAATTCCCTTCTTCTACACTAACAGTGCTCTTCTTCCTCTTTCCTTATTTCCCCTTCTCTCCCCACCCATCCTTTTCAGATTCAATTGAGAGGATATGTGGAGTATGTATATTTCACTTAGTAAGAACCCAATGTTCCTGGAAAAGGCATACATTCTTTATTTTTATAGTGATTTGGTATCTATGTACCACATTTTCTCTATCCATTCAGGCTTGATGGCCAATAGGCTAATTCCATAACATGGCTGCCATGGGAGGTACCACAACATAGCTATCCACTCTGTGTGCTGAATTTGGCTCCTTTGTATATCAGAAAGGCATAACTGGATCATGCATCATTTTTATTTTCATATTTTGAAGACTTTCTAAACTAATTTCTATAGTGGTGATACTAATTTACATTCCTGAAATGTATAAAGATTCAATTTCTTCCACATACTTTCCCACATTTGACACTCTTCCTTTTGTGATTTTTGTAATAACCATTCTGATTTTTGTGAGGTAAAGCGGAACATAGTTTTGGTTTGTATTTCTGTAATGGCTAGCAATATTGAACATTTTAAAAAATATATCACTGGGCTCTCCCCCCCACCACCCACCCACCCACTGGAAGGAGCCATGGAGGCTGCACCGCCGGAGAAGAAAAAGAAGGTTCCTGCTGTGCCAGAAACTCTTAAGAAAAAGCGAAGGAATTTCGCAGAGCTAAAGGCGAAGAGCTTTCAGAAAAAGTTTGCACCGAAGACACTCGGGAAGGCAGGGAGGAAGCTCATCTATGAAAAGGCAAAGCATTATCACAAGGAATACAGGCAGATGTACCGGAAGGAGATCCGCATGGCTAGGATGGTAAGGAAAGCTGGAAAATTCTATGTGCCTACAGAACCAAAGCTGGCCTTCGTCATCTCAATCCGAGGTATCAATGGTGGTGCAAGCCCAAAGGTGTTGCAGCTGCTCCGTCTTCGTCAGATCTTCAATGGCACCTTTGTTAAGCTCAGCAAGGCTTCGATTAATATGCCAAGGATCGTGGAACCATACATTGCATGGGGGTACCCCAACCTGAAGTCAGTAAACGAACTCATCTACAAGCATGGTATGGCAAAATCAATAAGAAGAGAATTGCCTTGACGGACAATTCCTTGATTGCTCGATCTCTTGGTAAATATGACATTATCTGCATGGAGGATCTGATCCATGAGATCTACCCAGTGGGGAAACGCTTCAAGCTTCCTGTGGCCTTTCAAACTGCCTTCTCCACAGGACGGGATGAAGAAAAAGACCACTCACTTTGTGGAAGGTGGTGATGCTGGCAACAGGAAAGACCAGATAAACAAGCTTATTAGACGGATGAACTAAGGTGCAGCCTATGGTATTTTTGTAATCTGGTCAGTTAATAAACAGTCACAGCTTGGCAAAAAAAAAAAAAAAAAAAAAAAAAATCACTGGTTATTTGTACTTCTTTTGGAAAGGTGTTCAGATCATCTATTTATTGATTAGATAGTTTTGGTCTTTTGAGCTTTCAATTTTTGAGTTCTTTATATATAATGGACATTAATTCTGTCAAATAAATAATTTGTGACCATGTTGTCATATTCTGCAATTAGTGTCTTTATTCTTGTCTTGCCTGTACTGTGATGCAATTGCTTTGCCAATTCTTCCTACTATTTATTGAGCTACAGGGCTCCTATTCAGAATATGCCTAATCCTGCATCTTGAATGGCTCCTTCTGTTTTTCTCTGTTAATTTCAAGTCTTACATGAAGGTATTTCTAGTTGACTTTTGTACAGGGTAAGAGATAGGAATCTAGTTTCATTCTTGTAGACAGCCAGCCTTCCCAGAGCCAGTTTGATAGATTGCAAAACTAGAATCTCAGTTTTTATTTTCTTAGGTAGTTAAGAGCCTATTTCCAAAGCCAGGCGTTGGTGGCACATGCCTTTACTCCCAGCATTCAGGAAGCAGAGGCAGGCAGAGTTCAAGGCCAGCCTGGTCTACAGAGCTAGAAGTTACAGCTCAGGCTCCAAAGCAATACATTGAAACCCTGTCTCAACAAACAAACAAACAAACAAAAAGCCTATTTCCAGTAGTAAAGTCACAATATTATAAACCTTTCATGACAACATCTTCTACCTTTTTTTTTTTTTTTTTTATTTTATTGAGGAAGAATATATTTGGGTGGATAGCTATCAGGGTCACCTAAGTGAAGGATTCAATTCAAAAACAGTTAAAAGCCCTGGTTTCCTGGGGATGGATTGTGACCAAGATAATGTGAAACCTCTGTCTCTATACTCATGAAAACAAGCTTAATTTTTTTTGAGATGAGTGTCAGCAGATGGGTAAGGGATGCATTACATAGAGCAATCTTGGGCTTCTTTGGCCCATAATTCTCTTGCGTCACATGACTTTTTTGGCTTTGCTGTATTTATTATACTATGTGTTAACTTGTTTTCTTTTCATTTAAATAGCATCTCTTTGAAATATCTCTAGATGATTGTGTTATTTCATTTTAATTCAAAATAAAATGACTAATATATACTCTTTATACTAGTATATTTTCAAACAATACCAAACTATTTTTATTTCTATATTAACAATGAAGTTTCAATGTATTTTAATCTTGTAATGTAACCAACTTGCTATGCATGGTTGCTTTCATAATTCATCAGATTATGTGCAGAAAAAATCGACAAATTCTAAACCCACATAGCATTTTAGAACTGGCTTTTAGAAGTTAAATCACGTTTTGTGAGAAAATATATTTGTTTATAAATCATAAAACACATACTTTCCCCAAAAAAACTTATAAAACATTACATATAAACATAATATTAAAAGAATACATTTTACTATGAAGGTATAAGTTTTTACAATAAGGTATCCTTTTGTAAGTAATTACCACTTCTACTAAATTATGAATCAAATTGCAAATTTTTATAAGAGTTTTATTTGCTTTCAGTAACTTCACTTAAGCTCTGCTGTAGACAGTTTCCAAGAACTATAACCTAGAAGACAATCAGACCATGACACTCCCCTGCTTGACATCAGTCTGTGGCCCCACATTGTTGTTAGGATTTATTCCAACACATTATACATTTGACAAATAGTCACTGAGTATGGGTGCAGTGTGAGATAAATTAGATATATCTTATGCCAAAAAGACCCATCCTGGTAATTTTTCTTAAATGTGCAAGCATGGACCTTACCTTGATTAAAGAAAGAGAAAGCCACAACACAAAGAAGCTCTGTGGCTGAGGGGATTCAGAATGTTGCAGAAGTCCATGCAAAGGCCAAGTGTGATTAAATGGGGGGAGGAGGGGTTGAGGGAAGGGCATTTCTACAGGAAATACTTGACAATAAAATTTATCATAGTTTCATTTGTGTCAGACATTTATATGTGCATTACCTCATTCAAGCCTTGTAAAATTTCTGAATTAGCAAGTTATATTATTACACATTTTTTTTTTAAAGATGAGACTTAGTAACTTTTCCAAAGCTTGTGATAGACTGCAGAGCTAGTGTCCTAACTAAGCATCATGCTTTTGTGATGACCTGGACCAGGGATGAAGAGTTGCTGTACTGAGAAGGAAAAGCCTTGTGCAGACAAGATGGACAGTAGACAGACAGTGTCTACAAGAGTTGAGATCATGATCTGAGGAGATGGCTCAGTCAGCCTGAGGACCAGAGTTCAGCTGCCAACACCTAGTGTAAAAATCCAAATCACAATGGCATGTGCTGAGGAGATGTAGAGCAGTGGATCCCTGGGGCTCACTGGGCAGCCAGATTAACTGTCTTAGTTGGGGCTTACTGTTGTTGAGAAGAGACACCATGACCATGGCAACTCTTATAAAGAAAACAATAGCCAAGGGTGGCTCTCCTACAGTTTCAGTGGTTCGGGCCATTATGATCATAACAGGGGACATGACAGCGTGCAGGCAGACATGATGCTGGAGCTGAGAGCACTATATATTGCAGGCATTCTCAGGAAGTCCACTGACTGTCACACTGAGGGAAGCTTGAGAAAAAGACCTCAAAGCCCGCCCCCACAGTGACACACTTCCTCCAGCAAGGCCACACCCCCTAAGAGTGCCACTACCTTTAGGGGCCATTTTCTTTCAAACCACCACACTAACCAAATCAGCAAGCTCCAGCCATGTTCCTCTGAGAGACTCTGTTCATAAAACAGGGAAGACCATTCATGTGAGATTCACGGTGTGTGTGTGTGTGTGTGTGTGTGTGTGTGTGTGTGTGTGTGTGTGTGCACGCGAGCTCACATGTCTCTCTCACACATATTTTCTCTCTCACACAGATACACACACATGAACACACATACTCTTTGTCTCTTGCACACACATGCTCTCTTACACACACATGCACACACACATACATGTTGAGATCAATTGTGATGTATGCCTTGTTGAATTTTGAGAGCTATGGGAAGACTGAGGGCTTAAAGGAGCAATATCATAGTGAGGACCCATTAGGAAGTGAAAACATTTAAGTGATTTTGTAATAACCCAGCAAAGAGATGAACAAGAGCTACAAAAGAACCAGAAGCTACCAAGAACCTGAAAAGTATCGAGTAGGAAGGGACAGAAGCCCATGAGTTACATTGCCCAATTTCAGACTTGTTTGACTGCATAGACAAGAGGAGAAGGAGATACATGGGTTTCAAATGACAGGAGTGGTAATGGTTGATGGGCTCCAGTACTGTTCAAAAGAAATAATGCCTACTACATATGGAATTTAATTTAAATTGTTTTGTGGTCATTCACTTAAAACTAGTGTAAAATATGAGTGCTTTATGTGATGTTATATGATTGTAATTACTGTACTCAAAAGGTCAAGGTAGGAAGATCATGAATTTGAGGCCAACCTGAATTGAATAGCAATTTTCAAGACAGCCTGAACCATACAGCAAGAGGGAATGTAGACAGGGGGAAAGGGAGTATGAATTTAATTTTAATAATATTTTCTTACTTACTTAACCCAATATAGTCAAGATATTATGATTTTAGCATGCCTAAACATTAACAATTACTATGTTGCCTATTCAAGCCACATCTTAGGCATCAAGCATGCGCTTTACAAATAACACAACTCCATTGGGGGTAGCCATGTTTCAAGTGTTCGCTAGCCATATGTGGCTAGCAAGTGCCATAGGTAACAATGGAGCTCCAATCACGGCCTGACCGTCTAGCTTTATCCACACCAACAGTTGCTGGTCAAGCTATGCTTATTACAGTTGGGAGATTACAGTGCAGTACTGGGTACTGTACTGTGTACCCACATGTTCTCACTTAATTCAGTTTGCCTGTACCCTACCACTCTGTGCTCACACAAAAATCTCTCAGTTTTAGGTGATGACTCTATATTTTATAGATTCAGGAACTGTGGTGAAAGTCAGTTAAGAAAGACATCCTGGCTCATGTGGTCCATGTATGGGAGGGTTTGGCCCTATTTTACTTAGCACTGAGATGTCCCAATTCCCACTTGGTAGACTCAAAATGCAGACACCACCAAATGATCAATTCTAGCTCAACACATTTTTCTTTAAATTCTGCAACTGATATTTAATTTGAGTGAGTGGCTCATAGACATAATGATTTGTTAGTAGCATAGCTGAAATTAGAAAAATATAGGGCTGGGGAAATGGTTCAGTGCATAAAAATGCTTGCTGCACAAACATAAAGACCCAAGTTTGAATCCCCATCACCCACAGTGCATATGCCCATAACTCCAGTGCTAGACAAGACAGAGACAGGAGGATCATGGGAGTTTGCAGACTGTCAGCTTAGCTCCTGGTTCAATGAGAGATCCTGTTTCAGAGGAATAAGGTGGAGATTGATAGAACAATACACCCAACTCTCTCTCTTCTGGCTCCCATGTTTGTGTATGGAATGGACACACATGTTTGCATACACCACACATGAACTCATATGTACACATACACATACAGAAATCATATACAGACAATGGAAGGCACTTAGTAATACCAACCAAATGGCTGAACATATAAATTTACTATGCTATTAATATTTTTACTGCATTGTAATAACATTCAAGTCATACAAATAAGAATTTGTAGCAATATAGATAGCCACTGGCTGCCATTTCTATTATTATTTATAAAT